TTCTTTCTTTCTTTCTTTCTTTCTTTCTTTCTTTCTTTCTTTCTTTCCTTCCTTCCTTCCTTCCTTCCTTCCTTCCTTCCTTCCTTCCTATCTATCTATCTATCTATCTATCTATCTATCTATCTACCATTGCTTACTGTTGTTTTGCCATGATGTAAGCTGCTCAAAGTTGCCTGAACCATGAGATGGGTAACAGATAAATAAATAAAAATATTGTATTCATATATAGAAACCAATAATAAGAAAGGAATTGTTGTTTTAATGGGTGAATGGCTTTAATGGGTGACTTATCTCACATTTTCCCATCACTCAACAGATTAGGCAGGGACTTTCAGGTTTCCGAGGTCTAGATGGGACAAAATGTACATGCCCCTCTGAGAGCTCTCTTCAACATAAATGTCATTTTAGATACTTACCCCTCCACTTGCCATGATGATTATTTTCACACTGCTTTTAAATATCCAGCAGCTGACCTCACTTTCCCTTCCTTCCCTGGCCAGTATTTCTTTTAGCTACCGAATGATAGTGGACATCAAAACATTCGCCCATCCTTGTCCTTCCTTTTCCACCGTATTAGCATTTTTGTGCAGGCTGAACAGCAGAACTGATCCTCTGTCCCACAGGAAAAGAAGCCAAGGCATTATAACTCCTAACATTATATATGCTGTACATGTTTGACAAAAAAATAAAATAAATAAAAATAAATAAATATCCTCATCTTCTGGATAGAGATAAGATTCCCTCAGACTACAGATAGAACGCAAAGGTGATTTTTCCGAACAGCAACTGGACTTCCTTGGTTATTTTTTTTCCTTTGAAAACATTTCGCTTCTCATCCAAGAAGCTTCTTGGATGAGAAGCGAAACATTTAAAAAACAAAACAAAACAAGAAAGTCCAGTTGCTTGGAAAAAGCATTTTTGGATCAACCATGGCTGTGGATGATTGGGAATCTCCACAGACACTGGAAGTAGCAGTCTCTGCTAATAGGAAGCTGTTCTCGAAAAAGTACTGTGGAACTTTCTTTTTTTCTGGAAAAAGAGCTAAATTAACAGGCAACGACAATAATCTCAGATAGATATATGCCTTGCATGTGAAATGGGCCTTATTGTTGTTGAGGAACAATGAAGAGCAACAGGATCAGGGGTGGGATTCTACTGGTTCGGACTGGTTCTATAGAACTGGTTGTTATGATTCTGCGCAGTTCGGAGAATCGGCAAATCGTGCCACTGGCTGGCTCTGCCCCTCTCCACCAGCCCCTCCCCTCCCTTCCCCGCTCATTCAGTCCTTATCGCGCATGTGTGACATCGTGTACATGCCTGACATCGGTAACTGCATTCTCCCCTGCCCAGTCACTCTTTAAGGTATTTCTTTTTTCCCCCCTGCCCAATGATCAGCTGTTCTGATGATCAACTATGCCGGGATACCCCTCGCTGTCTTACTGCTTCGCCCAGGAGGCTTCCCTGAGGCCCAGGAGCAAAAAGGGGTGGGGGTGCTGCATGCCCCCCCACGTTCCATTTTTTGCCTTCCTGGGCCCCAGGGAAGCCTTCTGGGAGCAAAAATGACCCCCAGGAGGCTTCCCTGAGGCCGAGGATGTAAAAAAATGGAGGGGCTGCAAAAAAAGAAGCCATGCCCACCCAGTCACTTAGCCATGCCCAACTAGCTATGCCCAAGTAGCCACACCCACAGAACCAGTTGTTAAAATTTTTGAATCCCATCTCTGAGCAGGATGTTGTTAGGCCAGAGCTAAACACAGGTAAGGCTAGGATGAGATGCTTTTAGAAGGATCTGGGCATGTGATATTTTGCTGCAGATGTCTTCGGGTGTGTGTTTCCTGACTTAACCTCCGTGCCCATAAATGAGTATTTCAGCTGTAAGCACATGTCATTAGCAATTCTTTACAGGACGAAAGGCATATCTCCTTGAGCAGCCTTAATCTAGTTAATGTATTTTCTCTCTCTTTCCAATAATGTTCTGTCTTTTTCTCTCTGTTGACAGATCTTGAATCTAATCTTGATTTAAATAATGATGATTATGAATATGAGGATGAAGCTAAACTTGTCATATTTCCAGACCACTATGAAATTCCTTTACCCAATATAGAAGAACTGCCAGCACTGGTGAGTGAATGAAAGAATGAGATAGCCAAAAAAAAAAAAAGGGGGGGGGAAGGATTGACATTGGTTTTGTGAATTTAAGGAAGTCAATTGCCTCGTTCAACATACAAGAAAACTTGTATAGACTTGATACTGCCAACACAAATTATTACACTTGCCAAAGGTGCATAATGTCATGCAAATATGGCCAACTTCAAGATACTGGAATCTTTCTTTTTTTTAAATTACATCTATTTATTCTATCTGCATACCATTTTATTAATACAAACCAGAATGGATGAAAAACTGATTATCAGCAATGTCCATAATGAATATAATTACAATTAAAACAATAACTAATCAGAGTGGCAACAATACCAGGATAAATCATATAAATAGCAGTGATGAGAAATAGATAAAAGACAAATGAATCAATGAAAGTAGTTTAAAGCAAAATAAATTAAAGATGGGGAGGACAACATATTCCACCAAATGCTCCGTGGAAAGTTTTCTCCAGTAGCTTCCAGAAGATCAGAAAGGATGGAGCAAGTCTTAATTGGACTACCTGGAAAGTGCTGGTAGTCCTCAACTTAGAACAATTTGTTTAGTGACCATTCAAAGTTACAATGGCACTGAAAAAAATGACTTATGACTTCCCCCCCCCCCATACTTATGACTGTTGCAGCATCCTCATGTTCACGTGACCAAAATTCATATTTATGACGGTTGTTACTAAGTTAACAACTGAATTGATTCACTTAACAACTGTGGCCTGAAAGGTCGTAAAATGGGGCAAAACTCGCTTAACAATGGTCTTGCTTAGCAACCGAAATTATGGGCTCCATTGTGGTCATAAGTCAAGGACTACCTGTATTCTACAATGATAGAGCAGAAACTGAGAAATAGCACCTCCTGGCCTCCATTTCTGTTACTTCACCCAAGATTCTTCTGGGAAAGACATACTGGATGGATGGTCTAATCTGCACAAAAGAAGGTGCTTCTACAGAAACTTGGGTACCAAGTCCTGTATGTGTTTATGTTGCTAGCTCTAAGATTTCCTAGTTAGCCTCAAAGGTAAACAAGACACTCTGTGCAAATGCTTACAGTTTAAGATGTCTAGAGAGTATCCTTGAGAGCGCAAGGATTTATTTTCATGAACTCAACCAAATTTTGTATGAAACCACCCATAGTTTCTGTTCTGTCGCATCTCAGGTTTCTGTCATTTCAACAGAGAAAGAGAAAGGTAGCGACATTTCATTGGTCCTCATATTTAGGCAGATGTTCAGAAGTCCTTGCAAATTGTGTTTCATCTTTTCCACCCTTTAAAGGAGTGTTTCTCAACCCCTGGCAACTCGAAGATGTATGGACTTCAACTCCCAGAATTCTTCAGCCAACACACTGGCTGGGGAATTCTGGAAGTTGAAGTCCATTCATCTTCGAGTTGCCAAGGGTTGAGGAACACTGCTCTAAATTAACTGGCTAACTGTGTGTATTGTGAATGACAGTGTGTGTATTGTCACTGATGTCAATGCATACCTCTCTTTTGAATTCGCTAGATAACTTTAAGCAAATCAATGTTTCTCAACCACAATTCCACTATTAATTTGCAGTTTCTGTATGCGGTTAGAGTAATTTATACTGTACAACAATTGAAAGGATTACTGGGATTATGTGAAGATAACAATGAGTGCTCCAGAGCAAGGGTCTCCAACCGTGGCAACTTTAAGACTGGTGGACTTCAACTTCTAGAATTCTGGGAATTGAAGTCCATCAGTCTTAAAGTTGGCAAAGTTGGGGACCCCTGCTCTAGAGGACTACCTGAAATTTTTATTATTGTTAGTGTTCTTGGTTACAATCCAGCCAAAAAAAAAAAGGTCAGGACAGGACAAACCAATTGATCGTTCTGCTTCCTTTGATGTTCAGCTGAATCTTCCCTCCACTCCAGGTGACAATAGCTTGTGATGCAGTCCTGAGCTCGAAATCTCCCTACAGAAAGCAGGACCCAGACTCTTGGGAAGAAGAGCTGCAAATTTCCAAACATGCCAACACTCTGGTGCAAATGGACAATGGAGTCAGGATTCCACCAAGGTGATTATGGATGGATGGATGGATGGATGGATGGAAGGAAGGAAGGAGGGAGGGAGGGAGGGAAGGAAGGAAGGAAGGAAGGAAGGAAGGAAGGAAGGAAGGAAGGAAGGAAGGAAGGAAAGGGAGAGATGTTTACGTTTCAAGTAAAGTAATATCTCTGAAACGACCCAGCGGGACACGGATAAGTCTAGCAGTAATGAAAAGGAAGATGTTCTGGTGATATTCTAAGGGGTTCCTGGCATAGATAGAGAATGGACAGCTGTCAGTTCAGAACTTTCTGAATTGATGATGGTATTGGGAGAGGGGTGATAACAGAAGTGGTATTCAGCAGGTTCTGACCAGTTCTGGAGAGCCGATAGTGGAAATTTTGAGTAGTTTGGAGAACTGGCAAATACCACCTCTGACTGGCCCCCATCTATTCTCTGCCTCCCAAGTCCCAGCTGATCAACTGGGTCTTCTTTTGTTGCCCTGCACAGGAGAACGGAGCTGGAAAGCAGGTTACTGGGGTGGGGAGGAAATGGGGATTTTACAGTATCCTTCCTCTGCCACGCCCACTAAGCCATGCCCGCCAAGCCAAGCCAAGCCACACCCACCAAGCCATGCCCATAAAACCAGTAGTAAACTTTTTAAACCTCACCACTGGGTGATAACTCTCATTCTGATTTTGTTTCTATACTTTTGGGACTCTGATCCATGATGGCTGAGGTGCAAAATATATTTCTGTTTCCTTAAGTAGACAAATTGTGTTTAGTACAAAAAGGAGTAATCCTAAATAAATTCATTACAGGTAGTCCTCAATTCAGATCTTGTAACATATATAAGTAACTTATGTTGGGGAACTACAGTTTTGAAAGATTGGTGGGATGGATTCCTTAAAATCGTAGAAAAATGAGGCGATCTTTTGCTAATCCAATCCCTGGTAGCTCTAAAGCAGAGGTCTCCAAACTTGGCAACTTTAAGACTTTGTGGACTTCAACTCCCAGAATTCTTCAGTCAGCATAGCTGGCTGAGGAATTCTGGGAGTTAAAGTCCACAAGTCTTAAAGATGCCAAGTTTGAGGACCCCTGCTCTAGCGCCAGAGGCAGCATCATGGTGGTTGCTTGACTCTGGCAATTTATTTTTCAGTGGCTGGAAGTGCTCCAAGTGTGACTTACGGGAGAACCTTTGGCTAAACCTCACTGACGGATCCATACTTTGTGGCAAATGGTTCTTTGATGGCAGCGGGGGAAACGGACATGCCCTTGAGCATTTCAAGGAGATGGGTTATCCCTTAGCAGTGAAGCTTGGAACGATTACACCCGATGGTGCAGGTGAGTGAAAGCTTGTGTGGATGACCATCAGCAAACCTTTCGATCTCTGTATTTTGTTTTTCAGTAGCACCATAGAGGTGTCCCGAAAGTGCTTTTTCAAAAGGCAACTGGACTTTGTTTTCCCTTGAAGATGTTTTGCTTCTCATCCAAGAAGCTTCTTCAGTTCTGTGGAAGCTTCTTGGATGAGAAGCGAAACGTCTTCCAAGAAGAACAAAGCAACTTTGAAAAAGCACCTTTGGGACAACCATGACCCGGATGACTGAGAACTTCCACAGACACGTACTTACTAGCGGATTTGCTAGATCTGGACTTACCTAGAAAAAGCAGGAAATCCCAGATTAGAATTTTAAAAATTAAATTAAATTAATTGAAAAATTAAATCACACAAAGTCCCAGGGGTGGGATTCAACCGGTATAATAACCGGTTCGGTGAGCACGCGCAGTGTTTGAAAACAGCACATCAAACAAGACCTATCCTGAAATTAAGCCCTAGCTAGATTTTTACATGGGTGCCTAATATAAGCCCTGTCCAAAAATAAGCCCTAGTTAAGACCCTGCCCACTCTGTCTCACCATCTGGTTGCATGAAGTGGGGTGAGGCCCATGCATAAAAATCAAGCTAGGATGGGTAGCTGCCCCACACGCCCTGCACCAGTTTACCTTAGGACCACTGCAGCCAGGCCTCCCATGCCCCGACACCTTTTGCGCCGCTTGCTGACTTCTTCTGTGGCCGCTTGTGGCTGCTCGTGGCCAGACACCACATGGAACATTGCCCTGGTGCTGTCACTCGTGGCCGGATACCACGTGATACATTATTAATTAGATGCCAAAAACAAAAATACACAAAAAAAACCCCAACCTTTCAAAACTGATGTGACAATATAGGGTACATTTTAATACTCATGTATATTTTGTGTAGCATATTTTAAGGAGTTATGTAGCATATTTTAAGGGATGTTTTAAGGAGTGAAGAGTCACTGTGTACTTTCTTTGGTAGCCTGACACTTTCTTCGACTTCCTTTACTGCCTACTTCAAGAACGTACAGTTTTTTTAAACTCAAAGCTTAAAACTGAGCTGTGGTATATTGATGAATTAAAATGTATTTTGGAAAGATAAACATATGTAAATTATATTTCATTAAATTTTCTTGGGATCTTCCTTAAAAAGAGTTCAGAACCAGAATATCCTTTTTTCTTTTCCAGAGAAGCCCTGTTAGGTAGGTTAAGCCAAAAGATAAATGTAGAAGTCAAGTCTGACTCTAGAAGATTATGTTCACCTCTGTTTCTTAACTGAGGGAGCCAGCATTGTCCAAAGACATTTGCATGGTCATCTGGCCAGTATGACCATATGCCGAGACACATGGAATGCTGTTACCTTCCCACTGAAATAGTACCTATTTATGTACTTGCTTTCGAACTGCTAGACTGCAGGAACTGGAGCAGTAGCAGGAACTCAACCCATCACGTGGCACTTGGGTCTCAAACCTGGGCTGTCAACAAAATCAGTGTCTTTAAGCACTGAGCCATCACGTCCCCCAGGTTAAGCCCAGACAGCACCAAATCCAAGGTCTTCCAGTAAAGCTTTGTAGCTGAACGAAGACTTGTGTTCAAACTGGTCTCTCTCAACCTTAGCAACTTTTAAGATGTGTGGACTTCAAATCCCAGAAATCCCCAGGCAGCTTGCTGCCTGGGGAATTCTAATCATTGAAATTCAGACATTTAAAGTTGTCAAGGTTGAGAAACGTTGGCTTAGATGAAGTCCAAGACAACAATCTGACCTCAGTGGCACTTCAATAGAGAAATTTTTTTTGCGGTGTTGCTATGTTAGGGTTTTTGGTTCTATGATGGTGTTCTGCTGGGGGTAATTCTTTGACGCTTCTCTCTAGCCAGCCATTGGTCACTCTTAAAAATAGCCACACATGGTCCATTTAGAGCCACACTAAGGCAGAAAAGTTGACTGGGTGTCATGCTACATCGTGACTTCACTGAAAAAGCATGAGGCCTCTCTGAACTTATGTTTATAGAAGGGAACAATAACTCGCAGTGCGAAACAGAGGCCTTCTTAAATTGGAATGCCAGCAAAAGGCCATGTGGTGTATCTATAAATGTCAACGGCATCATTTTAGGTGGACATAGGGAGGGAGAATGCTGGGCTCGATAAATGCTTGGCCGAAGAATAAGTAGAGGGTTCCCCTCCCCCCCACAATGCCAAGTAATGTATTTTCTGAAATGTAGAATAGGAATAGAATAGGAATAGGAATAGGAATAGGAATAGGATAGGAATAGAATAGGAATAGAATAGGAATAGAATAGGAATAGGAATAGGAATAGAATAGGAATAGAATAGGAATAGAATAGGAATAGGATAGGAATAGAATAGGAATAGAATAGGAATAGAATAGGAATAGGAATAGAATAGGAATAGAAGAGGAATATGAATAGGAATGGAATAGGAATAGGAACAGAATAGGAATAGGAATAGGAATAGAATAGAATAGAATAGAATAGAATAGAAATAGGAATAGGAATAGGAATAGGAATAGGAATAGAATAGGAAAAGGAATAGAATAGGAATAGAATAGAATAGAATAGAATAGAATAGAATAGAATAGAATAGAATAGAATAGAATAGAATCCTTTATTGGCTAAGTGTGATTTGACACATAAGGAATTTGTCTCCAGTGCATAAGCTCTCAGTGTACATACTGGTACAAGCAACAAGTCATTATCATCATAAGAGACATTGTTATCGTCATAAGATACATTCTTCAGAAACATTTACTGATGGTCGTAAGATACAAAATAAGCAATCATCATAAATCATGCTAGGAAACTAAATAAAACAATATAAATTTGTAAGATATAAGCAACAAAGTTATACTGTAGTCATAAGAGGACAAGGAAGTAGGTAATAGGAAAAATGAGAAGGATAATAGTAATACAGCCCTACTAGGGAGTTTGACAGTGTTATGGGAATTAGTTGTTTAGCAGAGTGATGGCATGGGTGGAAAACTGTCCTTGGTCTAGTTGTTTTAGCGTGCAGTGCTCTATGGCATCATTTTGAGGGAAGAAGTTGAAACAGCTTATGTCCAGGATGGGAGGGGTCTGTAGATATTTTCACAGCCCTCTTTCACAATACATGATGACAATGATGTTATCCATTCAGTCATGTCTGACTTTTGGTGATTCTATGGGCCACATCTCCACAGCTTCTGATCTTGCACTATTTTTATGAGGTTATTCTATGCTCTGCCTGGTATCAGCTTTGATGGTGTCCAGTCATCATATTTTTGACAGCCTGGTTTTGGTTTTCCTTCTACCAATGACTCTTCCAAACATAATTGCTTTCTCCAGTGAATTCCTCCCACATGATGTGGCCAAAATAAGTGAGATGCAATTTCGTGATTTTACCTTCTAGTGACATGTTTGGTGTTATGTGCTCCATGGAGTACTTGCTTCTTACTCACCTTTGCTGTCCAAGAAATATGCAGGAGACTTTTCCTCCAGCACAACAGCTCAAACAAGTAAATATAGACATAGAAGGATTCAAATACATAGAAGGGTTCAAATTCTAAATGCTATCGCTGATCAGATGTTTTATGTTCTGCTATTTAGCTTAAGGGGAATTTAGCAATGAAGCAAAAATATTTAAAAAGTCACAGGAGATCTAAAAAAAATATCTAGTCCGTTCTTCCTTTGATTGATTTGCTGAGGTCTGCTGTTTGCAACATTATGGTTGTTGCCGGAAAAATATCCTAATGAGAATCATGAACTATTTGTCATCGAGTGTATCTTCATGATGAGCAGATGAGGACATATTTGTTATTGCTGTATTTGGTCTTCCTGTCAATATTGTCAGTTGTAGTTTAGTCTTTATCCCTACAGCAAGAACATTTTGTGTTTGATCATTTACAAGTATTAAGAGCCCAAGAGAGAAAAAAAATCCACGCCAGCCAGATTCTATCACTTGTTCTGAGAGAAAAACAGGTGTAGATGTAAAGCAGAGGTGGTACTCAACAGGTTCTGAACAGTTCTGGAGAACCGGTAGTGGAAATTTTGAGTAGTTTTGAGGAGAACTGGCAAATACCATCTCTGACTGGCCTTACCCCCATCTATTCTCTGCCTCCCGAGTCCCAGCTGATTGGCTGGGTCTTCTTTTGTTGCCTTGCACAGGAGAACGGAGCTGGAAAGCAGGTTAGTGGGGTGGGGAGGGAATAGAATTTTGCAGTAACCTTCCCCTGCCACGCCCACCAAGCCACACCCACCAAACCACGCCCACCAAGCAACACCCACAGAACCGGAAGTAAAAAAAAATTAATCCTACCACTGAGGTAAAGCCAACAGGTGCCAGTTTAATTTAAGGTGATTTGCCACATAAAAAGATTAAACAAATGTAAAGAAGGGACTCTGCTCTTTAGTTAGCTTGACTGAAGTTAGACCCAGTGGCTAGAATCATTCTTTGCCAGTCTTGTATTTCCAGATGGGTTCAATTACAATTAACTCATTGTCTCTGGCCTGAATGAATGAAAAAGAACAAATGAAATGCATGACTATTTATATAATTAGTGTCAGATGGTGCTCCATTCAAAATCCAAGAAAGACACCCTTAGACTCCATTGTTATAGAGAAAAGGACTTTTACTGGAAATCAAGTGGTAGCATCAAAGGAATTCTAGATCTGAGAATTTACACGCAGAAATCACAAATACAAAGTGATGGCAACGTTCCCACCCCAATAGTTCAAACGGTCCATCCAATCGAAGATGTGTATAATGTCATGTGAGGCTTCTTCAGGTGGTGATGCAGACATCTGGCTGTTGACCTTGGCCTAGTTTGATAAAGAGCTGCAGTTGCATAGTAAGCAAGCAAGTAAGCATAAACAATAAAGTTTTCCCCAAGTTATGTAGTTAATTCTCTAAAGCCTCCAGCACACTTCCCACCTCACAAAGCCCAATTGATTCACCCTCCCCCTGTTACTATGGCAGCCAAAAAGATAGTGAAAGAAAGGAGTCTTAAAGGTGACAATTAGATCTACAGTATATCCCCCCTCACCCCTTTTCTCTTAGAACTCAATATAGCATACAGATAGTCCTGGACTTACAACCAGTCATTTAGTAACTGTTTCAAATAACAAAAAGTGACTTATGACCGTTTGCACACTTACAATTGTTGCAGCATCCCCATGGTCACATGATCAAAACTCAGATGCTTGGCAATTGATTCATATTTATGACGGTTGCAGTGTCTCTCGGGGTCACATGATCCCCTTTTGTGACCTTCTGACGAGCAAAGTCAATGGGGAAGCCAGATTCACTTAACAACTGTTTTACTAATTTAACTGCTGCTGTAGTGATTCACTTAACAACTGTCTTGCTTAGCAATGGAAATTTTGGGCTCCATTGTGGTTCTAAGTCGAGGACTACCTGTATACATTTCCCCCGAATTCTTCCCTAATGTCAAGTCTCTTTGGATGAGTTGAGCTGGTATAACCACTGGTCCAAAGTTACCTCATGAGCTTGGATGAAGAAATGTGTGCTTGATCCTGAATTGGCCAGGTCCTTATCCTGTAGCTTAACCACTGTTGCACACTGTTTATAGCAATAGCAATAGCATTTAGACTTATATACCGCTTCACAGTACTTTACAGCCCTCTCTAAGTGGTTTACAGAGTCAGCACATTGCCCCCAGCAATCTGGGTTGTTCTCATTTTACCCACCTCTGAAGGGTGGTAGGCTGAGTCAACCCAGAGCCTGGTGAGATTTGAATTGCCAAATTGCAGGTAGCCGGCAGTCAGCAGAAGTAGCCTGCAGTTCAGCACTCTAACCACTGTGCCACCTCGGCTCATTATGATTTGTTGAAACTTGGCTTAGAACCTTGTTGCTTCTCCTTCCATAGTGAGTGGAGAATTTCTGTTAGAACATTTTTTTATCTGTATATTCTATCTCCTTTATATGTAGAGCATGGAATGTCAAATGCTATTGATAAGTTACATTTGGTGAATTATCGCTTTGTTCTTATTTGTGCAGATGTCTATTCCTTTGAGGAAGAAGAAGCTGTTTTGGATCCTCATATTGCCAAACACTTAGCTCATTTTGGAATTGACATGCTCCAAATGCATGTGGTAAGTGACTCGCTTTTTATGAAGATGCTGTCCTAAGCACTCGGTTATCCTAACACACAAATGTGATAAATACCTCAGGAAAACAAAATGTCAATGATAAATAACAACAGTACTTAGATTATATCGCTTCACAGTGCTTTACAGCACTCTCTAAGTGGTTTACAGAGTCAGCATATTGCCCCCAACAATCTGAGTCTTCATTTTGCCAATCTCAGAAGGATAGAAGGCTGAATCAACCTTGAGATGGTCAGGATCGAACTCCTGGCATTGGGCAGAGTTAACCTTCCATTCTAACCACTGCACCAGCATGACTTCTTTTGTTTCTCTTCCTTTTTCTACATTTTTTTCAGTTTAGACTCTTCTATTGAAATATATCTGATAAAATTTAAAAAAGAAAAAGAAATGTTATGTGTCTAAGAAAAAGACATGGGGAGTGATCTGCCTACTAAACATAAATTGATTTTTATAGTAAGATCCTTGCTTGAACTTACCTAATATATATATGAAGATAAGTAGTGACAAAATCACTCCTGTAACAGATAAATTAGTTGATCTCATTCACACTCAGGAGCTAATAGGATGATGGGGTCCAAAAAGGTCTCAACCCTATTATTCTATGTTCTAATCCAAAGGTCCCTAAACTTGGCAACTCTAAGACTTGTGGACTTCAACTCCCACAATTCCTTCCATGCTGGCTGAGGAATTCTGGGAATTGAAGTCCACAAATCATAAAGTTGCCAAGTTTGGGAACCTCTGTTCTAATCTAAAGCAGAAGCCTCCAATCTTGGCAACTTTATGACTTATGGAGTCCAACTCCCAGAATTCCTTCCATGCCAGCTGAGCAATTCTGGGAATTGAAGTCCACAAATCATAAAGTTGCCAAGGTTGGAGACCCCCTGTCCCAAAGAATGTTTCTAATCTAGAATTCAGAACATACTTTATCTTTCTTTAAAACAACCAGCTAAAGTAAACTGTACAGTAGAAACTTACAAGACTGTATTTTCTTTAATAGCTTTATGAGGTATGGCTCTGAATTTCAAAACCATTTGTCCTTGAAAGAGATTTTATTTTCAAGACAAATCTAAAATCAAGAATCCAAATCCGAAGGAAATTTGAAACTCAAATTTCTGAATCTTGACTTAGCATCTACACTGATTCACCATTACAGTGACATTGGAAGTAGTTATATTCACAGAGTTTTACTATATGTTGTAGATCAGTATTTCTCAACCATGGCAACTTTAAGATGTGTGGACTTCAATTCCCAAATTCCCCCAGCCAGCATGGTTAGCTCAGGAATTCTGGGAGTTGAAGTCCACATGCCTTAAAGATGGCAAAGTTGAGAAAGGCTGTTGTAGATGAATGTTTGCTACAGTACTTGTACATTTTTGTAATGTAAGGAAAATTTTTATGTACAAAGCTATAAAATTTATTTATTTATAACATTTATTAGCTGCCCATCTCACCACAGGGTAGCTCTGGGCCGCTTGCCATCTTAAAAAGATAAAAACTATACAAAGCCTTAAAAAACATAAATAAAATGCTGTAAGATTGACTGAAAATGGTACTTA